TAGTAGTCGTAGCAGTAGTAGTGGTAGTAGTAGTAGTTTTTGGTAGTAGTAGTAGTAGTAGTAGTAACAGTAATAGTCATAGTCATAGTCATAGTCATAGTCATAGTCATAGTCATAGTAATAGTAATAGTAATAGTAATAGTAATAGTAATAGTAATAGTAATAGTAATAGTAATAGTAATAGTAATAGTAATAGTAATAGTAATAGTAGTAGTAAGAAGTAGTCGTCGTCGTCGTCGTAGTCGTAGTGGTCGTCGTCGTCGTCGTAGCCGTAGCCGTAGGGGAAGTGGCAGTGGCAGTGGTAGCAGTAGTGGTAGTGTTAGTATCGGAGGAAGAGGAAGATTGAGTAATGTAGTGGATGGCCAATCTAGTTCCAAGATTCTGACATATGCAACAAATTATGTGCGCAGGAGCGTCCAAAGCGGGCGCAATGGGCCGCAAGGGGTATTGAATGCTCACTCAATGGAGCAATTCTCTCGATCCGCCTCCTTTTTTAAACATCACGTTGGTGCCTCGGCAGGCTGTGGAGGCCCTTGCGGCGGGAGGCGGCGACAGCGGTGCCAAAGATTCCTTCTTGCAGTCCACTTGGGTAGGGCTCTTAATTGATTGGCTCTCAAAGTGTGCTGCAGTGCTCTAATGCTGCTTAAGCGGCCGTTCAAGGTTGCAACGTACTGGACGACAGCCTTGCTCAGCTACTTCTTGTGTCCTATCTTAATGGAGTTCGAAGCATCTGGAGACTTCACTATAGCGACGCGTTTGCGAACATCGATTCGGCGAAATGCAGTTTTCTATGTGGCATACACCGCAATACTCTGCCTTCTTCTCATCATTCTCATTATTCGGGGCGAAGTGCAAGGAGACATTCAGAGCTGGTGCATCGCGGCATCAAATGCATGGGGCCTGTTCGTCCTCACGGTTCTCATGGGCTTTGGATTGGTGGCTGTGCCACGCCACTTCTGGAGCTTGGCGAATCCATCGACGCTCTTGCAAGATCTGTACGTTAACGCAGTGCTGAAGGACGAAATCCGGCTTAGCCGACTCTTCGAGTTGCAGGACACTGTTGCGCAAGCTCGTTCCGAATTGGCTGCTCATGTGGAGTTGGAGGAAGATGCTCCTGGCCTACACATGCAGCGTTTAGCGTTTGCCAAGCTCTGCCAAGTGGCAGACCGGTGCGAGATGCTGCACAGGGAATTGAGCGGTTGCCGTATTTCTTCGCCACTGGTTGGCACACGAAGTGAAAAAGCATCTGGAGGCTTGGTCTGGTTCTCTGCACGCTGCAAGCATTGGAACAGATCTGCAGTAGTTACTTATGCAAATCTGATTGGTAGCGAACAGGTCATGCCGACCTCGAGCGTGCGGCTGGCAACGTACCGTTGCATCCACCGATGCCGCCTTACGCTCTTGTGTCCATGAGATGCATCCCAGTTGAATTGTAAGCTTCATTTTTCAGCTTCAGGCCGTCGCTTTCCCGGTTTGCGCACCTTCATCGCCTGCTCAAAGCGGCGGCCTTGGAGGCGGGCGCTCCTTTTGAAATAAAGGTCCACGAAGGAGAGCTGAGTTCTGCCAATGAATCAGTGAAGGCTCGCCGGGCATCGTGCTGCTTTGACAGCCATATCGAGCGATGTATATTTTTCGAGGACTGAAGCGACACAGGCCCCTCCACCTGGAACATAGCGTCTCGCAAGGACCTTCAACAAGGAGATCACACAGCTGCCGCTAATCTGCTGGGTCTGTGCAGGCCTCTTTTACCATTCCAGCACATTCCAGCACCAGCTATCGCATGTCCTTCCGCATGCATGACTCCTAGGCGTCATTTGGCGCTCCCCGCTCTTTTCCCAAGAGCTCGTTCAGCCTCTTGCTGAGTCACTACAAACACTTCGTTACGGGTTCTTCCCGTCTGGACAAGATTCAACACTAGCGAGACAGCAGGCGATTGCAAAACTACGGCGCAGCTTGCTGACTTTCTGGCTTCGCCATCTGCGAGCATCTTGCTAATGACCTGCTGACTTTTCCTGGCGCGGCGTAAGTCCAGCCAGCGGTGCTTTTTGGCTGCTAAGGCCCGTGCCTTGCTTGGCCTCGGCTGGGTCCGGACCTTGTCCATACGGAGCACGCGGCTCCACATTATGCCGGGAGCATGAGCGAACTCTTTGCTGAGGCCTCATGTCTTCTCAGCGCAGTCGTCGCCCGCCTGGATCCAATGGGCTCTGAGCCGTGTTGCGAGGGACAGTCTGAGGTTGTGATGGGTCAGATGACCCTGTTTGCCGACGGCTGGCACCTCTCCGTGTCAGCCCGCCTCTTCAAAAGGCGCTGCACGCGCGCATCGCGCGCAGCCGACAGCACCGCCAGGCTTTCGCTTCTCTTCAACGGAGACTATGGGCCGTTGGTAACGCAGGCCGCGACCAAACCTGATAGCGCAACAGAGTCGGAAAGCCTTTGAGGCATTCTGCCTGGTTCCATTATCTTACGTGACCTACACTGCCTACTTCAGCAACTTGCCTTCTGTTGAAGATGTGCGGTTAAGGAGGTCTCGTCACAGAACAGTGCATGTTATGTGGATCTGCGGCCAAGTCACTAGGTCTTAGTGGATTCGAAATTGTGCGCACACCCTGTTCCTAAAGGCCTTCACATCCTGCAGTTCTGGACTGGTCTGTCATTTGTTTCGATTAAGCAGGGGCGTCAGGCCCACGATGTTCACCTGACGCAACGAAGCTATGACATGGTGGGGAAAGCATCGGTTGGCCACCGGCGTGTGCCTGCAAGTGAGTGCTTATGACATCTCCAATACTTATCGCGGTACATGGTTCATATTTGCTGCTGCTATCAGCTGCTATCCTAGACTCTGGAAGATGATTTCGTGGGCAACCACTCCTTTCGCAGCCTGCAAGTGCATCAGCGCGTGAGAGACAGACAGTCCAGTCCACAAAGATGTACCGCATGCGTGAGCCACCGTTTGCGGTCGTCGGTCGGGAGTATTTAATGCATGTGTTTAGACGGCCTCACAGTACATGTTCTGGACAATTGATGGATCGGAGGTTAGTGGTCGTTGCGGTTTAGGCACGCGGATAATGGCACAAGGCTGAGTTCCTATCTGCTCTTCACCGGTGACCTCATTGCACATGAGTTACTAGTCAAAATTTCTCCGTCGGGTAGCCGAAGGCCTTCGATACGGCAGCAGATGGCATCGTAAAAGTTAACGCACCATACTGTCCATGTGTGGCATTTGTCTTTGAAGCAATGCAGACATACTCAGAGCTGCCACTTGACCTTGTCATCAGATTGCATGCGACGAGCTCGATGGGGATCGCCGATGGTCACAGCTGAGGTATTTTCCGCTTAAAAGTTTCAGGATGGTATGGCCCGCTCAGACGCTAGTTGAAGCGATGTGCGTGGGGTTTTCAACTGGTGTCCAAAGATGCGTGGATTCTTGCCAGGTCTGTACGGCAACCACAACACGGATGCAGGCAGTTTGCTGTGGCCGACGCCTTGGGGGCCACTCACACCTCGTGTTCAGCAGTGGAGAGCTCGAGAGAAGTATCGGCAGGACAGCACGGTCTCAGGAGTTTGCAGGAGTCCACAGGAGGTTTGGCTCAGGCCACTCGGCCAGTCATCAGAGTAGGCCTTTGGCCTTTCTGGCCTTGGCTGCGGGCCTTGGGCCCTGCTTTCGCGCGCAAGTTTCGGCACATGCATCTTGGACTTGGTGGCAGAGAGACGTCGAATGTTGAATCCACCCATTTCAAAAAGATTTGACTCTGAGGAAGTCTGGCAGCCCCAGTGGCAATGACAGGTGCCAGATGTCTTATGTGATTTTGTCTACCTTTTGTGGAGCTTGTGCCGATGTCTGTCATGCTGGTCTCAGGGACTGGTGCTCACAAGTGAACGGGGCACGCTCCATAGGAGTGAGCAGTACCGGCCTGCCACTGGAACAGCAGTTCAGAGCCGTTTTGGTGCATTGTCGTGGTCGTGGATGTCAGTGGACTTGCGGGTCAATTGCTCCAAGGTCAAGATCTGGCCATGCTGCCAACCAATCGGTGGTATCATCAGACTCGGCCGCTGAGATTTCGTTTAGAGAGCGGATCGTGCCATGCAGCAGTCAAACGTCTCTAGTTGCCAAGACGGCTAAGGACTCCTGTCAAAGAATGTCTCTTCGAGAATTTCAATCCAGAAATTACCTCAAGGCCGGGCTGCCCCAGTGCAAACACAGACGAGAAGCCGTCGACCCTGAAGGACCTCAAAGCCTTCAGTGACTCCTTGAACCAGCCCATGAACATAGTGCGCGAGTGCATGAGCCAGGCAGCTTTGAATCACTTGCAAACTGTAGATAAAAGCATGTGCATTGAAACCCCCGCTCGCAAGGTTGATCAAGGTCTGCTTGGCGCGTTGCAGATCACGCAGACGCAGGACGGCTGTTGGCTTTGTATGGCTTTGTGCTTGCCGCTTGTCTGTGCTGTACTGAGGCTCACGATCTGGTCATGGCTGCTCAAATGGTAACATGGAAGCTTTCTGCTACAGCCTGCAACAGCCTTGCGACTTGGCGAAAACTCGGCCATTGGGCCATCGCCGGCAGCGGGGAATGAGAGCGCATCTGAATTGGCTAGGGGATAAGCACACTCTGGAGTAGAGCCGAACTGGGCGAAGGGTCGTACAAGTAGCATTTTCTAGGCAGCGGGACGGTCCATTTTTCCACTCCACCCCACTGGAGGAGTTGCTTCCCACATTGCTGTGGGCGGCGTGCCTCGTCAGAATGCTTGGCGCGTCCCTTTCCAGCAGATGCCATCCAGAGTTTCAGCCATGCATTGAGGAAGGGTCATGGTGATGAGAAGGATGTTGTTGGCCCCATCTCCGAAGTGTCTTGGATGAAGTTGGGCTGGGCCCATGCCTGATGTGTGTCTGTGTCTTTTGTGTGCCCTTGGTGCTGGTGCACAGGTGCACAGCAGCATTGCCACGATGCGGAAAGATGCTCAGACGGTTCGCACCAGCTACATCGAGCTGCTGAATCAGGTGTCTTTCGTCTTGCCTCTTTGCTCGTTTGCACTCTCGCTGTGTACACAAGCGTGCTGCAGGTCAGATACTTAGGGCAGTGTGGCTTGGCTATGTTTCAAAAGCATTATGAGAGTCCTGCCGTACTTGCTGCAATCTTAGGTGCGCAGGTGACGCTGGACGAAGTAATAATTAGCTGGCTTCCTGCGCCCTACGAAGGCTGGCCAATTCACACAAGTTGCCGTCGATGCAAGTGTGGTGAATTCGCTCACGCTTGTGCCTGTTTGGGCATGCGCTCAGATGAAAGCGGCAGCCTGGAAACTTCACCCGGACATGCACTTGATCCAACGGAGCAGCAGAGACACTCAGAGCTGCTCAGCCGCAGACTGTGGCAGTGACACTTACGGAGCACGAGTCGAGTCTCCATAGGCTTCAGAAACAGCGATGTGATGAGGAAATGCCTTGAGCTGGCTCTCATGCACCTCGATGGGCTCTGCATGTTGCTGGAGGAGTGCCGTAGCAGTCACTTTGCAAATCTTCTGCCCGGTGCGAATGGAATCCTGCAAAGGACTGCTCTGACTTTTGGCTGATGCTGCACAGTGCAGAACTACAACTGCGCAAGATAGAGAAAGAGGCATCTTGTCAATGACAGAGTTTCAGCAAGGCTTCCATGCGATCTCGTTTGTGTTGGTATCAGTTTGCTTTAAGCAGCCTGCCTTGGCACAGCAGCGCAACGGCTTGGAATTCGAACATCCTGAGAGACCCCGACAGGTCAACATTTTCAAGTGAAAGAGCACTTTATTGCTTTAGACTCCCACGGCCTATGAGACCCCATGTTGCTACATGTACCACTTTCAATGCCCACGACGCATGTCACGTTGCAGCATCGTCAGACTCGCATCTGTCGCATAGCGCCCTGTGCAAATCAGCGGAAAGAGGTATTGGATTTGGAGCACTGGAAAACAGAGATCAGGCCAACAACTGACGTTATTTCAGTTATTCCTTTCAAACATCGGGAAGCGGTGTTTGCGGCAGTTAGATTACCGATGCCCCCCACGATACCCTCAGCCATTCACACGCAGCATCTGGGTAGAGGCACTGAGTCGCGGATCCATTACCGAATGCAGCATCGTCGATGATCAGGGCTCCGGATTTCTCGGCAAACCAGACTCCCGGGGAGTGGTGATAGATGGTGAGCGTGCTACCTACACCGCATCCGCGATTTCCTTCGTTTACTGCCTGTGCGTGTTTCGCAACACTCCACCGTCTGGCTCTATTCTACTCCTGTCAAATTCGATGGACTGAAACTCGAGTGCTCGTGGGGTCGTGAGTCTGGCACCAGGCTTACGCGATCCTTGTGTTTAGCTCCTTTCTGGACATGTGGACCTTGAGGTTAACGCCACAGCTACATGCCAGGGCTGCTAGGTCGAGTCTGCCAGACTGCAGCCAAACTGCTGTACTGTACTTGTTAAGGCTTCGAATAGATGGTTGCGGTGGGGATGTTTGCGGTGTGTGGATGGTTAGGCAACTGATCAACAGGAGAGCAGAAAGTGCTGGCACGGTGGAGGATTCGTCCGAAACTGCGAAATACCGATCACTGTGCAAGTATCCCGGCTTCCCAGAGATCCCAGCCATGCGTTGTGCGCGAGTACAGCGCAAGCGCTGGATGAGCAAATCCTTTCCGCGGCCAGGGTAGTCTGGTTTTCTTGTTTTTAAAGCCACGTGTAGGCGAATTTAGCTCTTTTGTCACTTTTGTCCAGTCATGGGAGTCTTTTTTTTGTTAAACTGTGTTTTCTTGTTTTCAGTTCCGCCTTCCACGAAGAAAGTCCCATGTCTCCCAAATGGCAAAAAGAGCAATGCTACATTTATGTGCTACCTATCTGACCTATCTATACATTTCTATTTATCTGCACACATATATACACACATACATACATACATACATACGTACATACATACATACATACATACATACATATATTTTTATATATACATACACATGTACATACATGTACATACATGTACATACATGTACATACATGAATACATATACATATACATATACATATACATATACATATACATATACATATACATATACATATACATATACATATACATATACATATGCATATGCATGCATGCATGGCATACATGGCATACGTGGCATACCTGCATACGTGCATACCTGCATACCTGCAAGCATACATGCATGTATGCATACATAACTAGATACATACATGTGTTGTGTGGCTATGTAGTGGTATACTAACATAGCGCTGCATCATGTTCCTTTCTGAAATGGTCATGATGTACTGTGTTAACATAACATGTGAATTTCGAATATTCTTGTTCCCAAGAAGGCCGCTGTAACTCAGGAAGTGTGTGTCTCATGGTTTCCGGGGCCGTTGTCGAAAGTCGGCCCCAAACACCTCGTGAGTTGAGGCCCTGAGGAACCAACAGAGGTCATAGCTACCGGCTTTGGACTTGTAGTCTTTATAGTTTACAGGTTTAGGGCTAAGGGTTTTAAGTTTGGGGCTCAGACTGTAGGATCTTAAGTCAAGTGTCAAGGGCGTATTGCTCCTAGGCTCTGAACCCTAAACCATAAGCCCTGAGCTTAAACCCTAAACTTCCCTAAACTCCAAATCCATCCTGGCAGCAGTCATTCATCTCCTGTTGAAAATGCTCCAGCGGCAGGTCATTTGCATCTAAACCGAAGGGGTTCTCCAGCTCCATAGAGATGAAATTCCTTCCAGAAGGTTACTAGGGCTACTGTACAAGGAGGCGCTGTAAGGGTTGCTACTCAAAGTTGCCATAACGAGTCCAAACAAGAGTTGCTACAAGGGTACTAGCAGGGATCATAAACAGGTCAAAGGGAGATGAAATGCCTTCGCAGTGTAGGGGCTTCTCAAAGTGTAACTAAGCTTTAGGATATAGGGTTGGTAGTTTAGGCCATGAGACTTGTTCAACAAGTGCACTTTACGGCGCCCTGACCCTAACATCAAGGAGCTCTCTTTCAAACCCCTTCCCAGGTGTTTTTGGCTCTTCCTTTAACCTTTGAGCGCCTAACTCTAAACCCTCAACCCTGAACCCTAAAGCGAAAAAAAACGGAGCAAGCCCTAAACCCCTGAAAGACTTCGTCTGGACTACTGTAAACAATCACACAGTCATAATCATAATCAGAATAATAACCATCATAACCATAATTAATTCCATTATTCATAATCAGAGTCAGAATATGACTTAGAATCATATGAACCACCCTTAAAACGCTACAACCCTTGCCCCTTTGAAGCTTTAAAGGACACAGCTGCACGAGTCTTGGCTGCCGGCACCTGCGCCCTCACATTTTTTTACTCCACTGCGTTAGATGTCATTATGTTACAAACATATATATATATATGTATGTATAATACTCGGCTTGACTATACGAGTTCCGTGGTATGTTCAGGTATGAAGCGCTGCAAACAAAAAACGATGCTCCATCCTCGCCAAGCATCAGGGAGAACATTCCGAAGACAGCTAGAAATGTGAACACTGGCGCTAGGAATCTGTGTGGGACTGAAGCAGAAATCAATGCTGGCGTGAGGAGTATGTGAACGAGCAAGAAGACTGCGATGATCTGCGCAAAGGGATACGGAAACTTGGTGTCGGTGATCTTCTTCCTTGGTCGTGCGGCTCAGAACTACTCCAGAACTTGCAGGTCACCTGTAACTGTACCTAGATGAAAGGACCTAACAAATCTACAAGGGATTCCAAGCTCCACAGGCTTAAACCCCAAGCTTAGCAGACCAATCAAGAGGCGTGTTCAGGAGATTCACGAAGCCTCGTGAGATGGTCTGATAGACACGAGACAGAATTGGCGGTGGGATCTTCAAGATACCATCATCCAAGGCCTGCGGCCATGAGGGTTTTTAGGATTTAGGAACCTTGGCTTATAGGTTCAGGGTTGACGGTTCAGGGCTTACCCTGAACCGAAGCTTAGGATGTGGGGCTTGATTTGTTTTCCCACTCTGATAGCTACGATGCGTACTTCTGCAATTCATGAATGTGTGGGGAACCATCCGCTGCGTTGGTTGCACTCCCCGAATCATTTGGGACTTCTGGTTTCGAGCATCTTGTGTGCAGGTAGTTCGTGCGCTGGTTATGCAGATGTTTGTCAAATGGGATTCAAAGCAATGCCGGTGTCACCAGATTTTGTCCCGCATACAGAGCATGGAGGAGCCAGGTAAGAGTTGGGGTTGCCAGCTCGAAACTGGCCGTGCAACAGAACCTTGGTGATCAGCGTCTGCAGCAGGTGCAGGCACACCTCCACACGATTGAACCTGACACGGACTTGGATTTCTCTGGACCCTGCAGCTTTTGCGCCTACTGATGCCCCGTCTTCAACAAACTAAGTGTTACTACGTGTACTCTTACCCTTAAGCTTTTACATGTCATGATGTGGGCGAGATTACCGCTCCTGTGTGTGATTGTCCCTGTCATTGTTATTGCTGGTAGTCTTATGGTTGCTTCTGCTGCTGCTAGACACATGTACTTCTTAGCATGATCATGAAGCATCGTCTTGGTGCAACTATGGACAGATTGTCATAAATTAAATGGTTTGCTGCGGTTACCTTGATGCTAAGGACCAATAACATCATCCACTACTAGCAGTCCGCAGAAGTTCTAGCACCACCACTACTACCTTCCAACATCCAACTGCTCTCGGCCAAGCGGCTTGTGGACTTCGCTGCACTCCCAAAGGTGATTCAAAGTCTGACTATCCAGCCCCATGACGTCGATGACCGCTAGCTCTACCACATCGCCCGAGATTTCCTGGCACATATGCCGCAATTGAAGCAGGTGTGCAAGGCGAGATTTAAGGGCTGATAGATTGAAGTTGCCAGGATTCGGATGCCTGTCTACCAGTAGATCACTTTGTCAACAACTCTGCTTGCTGAGCTACTGTATCTTTTATGGAATTTCAGTGCACACTATTCTTCAAATTCCGAAGCTGTATGATCTTCTCCGAAGGATCCTTGGCCATCATGGGTAGTAGTGCTAAGAGCCTCCAACAATAGAAGGGCCGGGTCCTCCAGGGCACTTCCGTGGCAAAGGCTCATGAGCCTGGCCGGAAGCCCCAAGTTTGTCGGATTTGGGGCTCTGACAGCCTAGGAACCTCTTGACACTAGGGCCGTCTATCCCAGGATAGGGTTATTTCTTCCTAGACCCGCTTGGGTTGTCAGATTTCTTTGTCATAAGACCAGAAGCATTGAGAAGCATTGACACGTCTATCAGTGCTGATAGCTACTGTCGTAGTGTTCTCGAGCTGGGGCCCTGAACCTAGGCCCTAAACCGGTTGGCTCTTTGGTGGCAACAACTGCGGCTTGGACCACCGTGCAGCCTACGGACACAGAAGACTGCAGCTGGCCTGGGTGTGGGTGGACGGAAGAATTGTTTATAATAACAATAACACAACTGCTTCTCCTCCTCCTACTACTACTACTACGACGACGACTACTGCTGCTGCTGCTGCTACTACTAGTTTTCTTCTACTACGACTACTACCTACGACTACTGCTGCTACTACTACTACTACGACGACGACGGCAACGACGACGACTACTGCTACTACTAGTAGCACTACTTCTACTACTTCTACTTCTACTTCTACTTCTACTTCTACTTCTACCACTACTACTACTACTACTACTACTACTACTACTACTACTATGTTGATTAAACAAGGATACTGGTAATAGCAGTACTAATATGCCAACCGAAAAGATCGCACTTGTGCAGCCTGTCCGGCAAAGAGAGTGGCGATATCTTCGTGTTAATAAAACCCTCATAGGAACCGACAAAAAGCTGCTGTCTCAAAAACGTAATACCCGATGCAGGCAGTTCTGGCAGTTGCACGCTGACAGCGGTCATCGCTGTCCAGGTTGGTAGGACAAGCAGCAGGAGTAGGTGAAGTCGGAGTACTCATGAGTTGGAAGAGGACCCTGCTTATCGGAATCCCTACAGACTGCATCCCCCCGCTCCCCGGAACACCGCTGAATGCGCGGGCCTGACGAGGGTGTGTCTAAACTTTCGGACCTGTTCCGGCTTGCTCGGGCGAGCGCTGATGGAGAAGGTGATCTCAGCACGTGGGCATCTGATGATTCTGAAATGAGCTTGGGGCCAAGCGGCCGACCCATCTGCGTAAAGCGCCCTGAACCTCCAACTTCCTTTTGCTGGACAAGCTGATAAACGGTTGATGCGGGGGAGAATGGCTGTCACTGTCAGCTCCCCTTGGAAACGGCCAACACGCACAAGTATTATCTATCGGTACTACTCTCTCCCCAACTTTCTTGATACCATGTTTGTTATGAGCCCTCGTAGACTTCTTCTTCTTGTTCTTATCATTGTTCTGCCTTGTTTTTGTAATGAACCTTTGTTACTCATCTTGACCGTCACTGTCTGGGCAAGGCATTCTTGGACAGCTCCAAAGCCACCCGCAAGGAGGGCCCCTACTCTACCCCAGGCCATCAGGTCTGCCCATAGGCTCCTAAGTAGTTCCTTTTTGTGGTTCATATTTAGAATCCTATAAGGTTATCCCAAAAAGGAACTACTAAGGAGCCTATGGGTGGAGAAACCTTCAATCCTGACTCTCGGAGTTTAGGACCTAACGTTAAGATTCAACCCGAACCACTGCCATTAATGGCAGTCTGGAGGCACAGTTGCTGACTGTGTCGAACCATTCCTCAGGAGAACGTCTGCCATAGATGCTGCCATATGGCGATGCTCGAGTTCTATTTTCCTATGCGTACTGATCAAAGCTCATGGTCCAAACGCGAGAATGGCCTGCACGGTCAATTACAGTGATGACTCGGGTTCGCAGGTGTAGTGCTTTTAGCCGTAGCAACACTGTATTAGTCCTAGCAGCAGTGGGTACCTAATGCTTATTGTGTACCGAGACTGACTACTACGTACAAAGAGCGGATGTGATACATTATATTATATTATATTATATTATATTGTATTATATTGTATTATATTATATTTATTGTATTATATTATAT